CACGTCTTGGAGGATCTTGGTATAACCATCTTGAAAGATCTTCCAGAGTGCATTCGGCATTACCCGCAATTAGTTCCTTCTTTCGTTAATCCGGCAAGTCCAAAGGGGGTACTTCAGGCCATAGGAGTCATTTTTAAAAGTCCCCAGAGAAAGGACGACCTATTACAGAAGATGAGAGGACTACCTGCTGACAAGATTCGTTCATTCAGAACATTTCTKTCAAGTTTMTCGAGTCTAAMACCGAATGAAACATTTTTACTACGACAACTACCCTTGTTTGAAACATATGTTGGTTGTGGAGAGARACTGTCGCGTTTCGTGTCACTAGAGGAAGTGAATATTGGAGCTCCAGTCGATGATTTGCCAGCTGTGTCTGTATTCACCGACTTACTGGACCTGAGAGATCGCAGCAGCCGAGCTCTTGCTCAATTGCTCAACACTTTSCAAATGACACTCATTGATTTATTGAAGACATTGTTGGACGATGCTTTGCGTAACAACTATGCTCAAAGGGAGGTTGACGTGCTGGCCAAGTACACCCTTGAACGGTTTGGTAGTCTTCATGGGGAGGAATTAAGGTGCATCAAACAAAAGCTACAGTGTTTGTCATTTGTTGTGTCTAGTGGCAACTCGAGGAAGAAGCCCACCGAACTGTTTAATCCTGAAGATGATCTTCTTACAAAAATTTTCCTGGGTGAAGAGGTATTTCCGRAAACGTCGTATTACTCACAACCTGAAGTTAATGCYCATTTGAAGAATTTGGGTATGAAAGRCCAAGAAAAGATCACTCCATGTGATGTTTTGAACAGTGCTAATATGATAAATAACATCCAAAATATTGACAAAGCAAGAATCAAATCCTTAGGCCTTCTWCAACTGCTAGAAAAGAATCCTCTTCTTCTTCAGGCAGCTGGTAATGGCCTACGTTCCACGATTTGGGTTCCAGTCTTGAGGACGAAACCAAATACTTATTCCACTCATCTCCCTCTGAAAGGTGTAGAGAATGCCGGGATTTTTTCTTGCCCCAAAGATATGACATCACATGATTTCATAAACGTTATTGGTAGCGTCAAACTCCTGGTAAATATGCCTAGAGAGTCAAACGTCTCGACATACTTTGGATGGCACCAAAATCCATGCACGACAGATGTTCTCAAGCATCTTAAAAATGTAGTGTTTTCTTACCACSTTGAAGACAAAAGCAATTTTATTGGTGCTGTTAGAGAAATTTATGGATACCTTAGCAATATACGGGCCACAGATGTTATCGATGGGATGAGAGAACTACAGCTGGCAGAGTGGGTATGGAATGGCGAGGGGTTCTGCACTTTATCAGATGTTGTTTTAGAGAATTGTTGGATTAATTTGGCACCATACGTCCGTGTTCTACCATCAGARACGAGAGAATTTAGMCYGATCTTTACAAGRTGTGGGATGAAACAAAGTTGCGATGCAGATTTGCTGCTCAACGTGCTGCTCAAAATCAGAGAAAAGCATGAATCACCACGCACCACAGACCTGTCAGTGGATGTTAAGCGTGATTTGCAACTCGCCATTGACATCCTAAACGAGCTTAAACCTACAAATGGACAGCCCTTTGATACTGATGTCAGAGAAAGGCTTCTAGTTCCTGTTCATGTTGAGGATGACGTGAGACTGGAAATGAAACCAGTTGAAGAATGTACCTACTGCGATCGAGAATGGCTCAAACAAGGACATGAGTTCAGTGATATTGATGACCAAGATGATGTAAAGATCAGCTTTATCCATCAAAATATACCCGATACTACTGCTGAGCTTTTAGGAGTCCCCACTCTAATGAGTAGAATACTTGGGGCAGAAGAGCTTGAACTGGGAGAAAGTTTCGGTCAGTCSGAGTCGCTGTTAGACAGGCTTCGTGGGCTGCTGGATGGGTATACTGACGGGTTGTCTGTGCCCAAAGAACTGATACAGAACGCTGATGATGCAGGGGCCACTGAGGTACGATTCTTGTACGATGAGCGAACAAACGAGGATTGCATGACACGCTTGATAGACGAAGGAATGAAAGAATGTCAAGGTCCCGCCCTGTGGGCTTACAACGATGCCGTATTCTCGGATGAAGATTTCCAGAACATCGTCAAACTCAACGCAG